ATGCCCGTTGGTGGCATGATCGCCTCTCAGGCAGTTCCAGGTGTAATTCGCCTGATGCAGGTCACCGACGGAGAGGCGGTCCGGGACCAGGTCGCATATCCCCCGGTAAATCTCACCCGTCAGTAGGATCCTATCTAGATGCAGACCCAGATCATTTCAGTTCTGCAAGCTTCCTTTCCAAGCAAAGGAAGACGGGGCCTTTCGGTGGTCAGTGTCTATCATGGACGCGCTTTTTCATATTTGGGCGCGCTTTTTCATGTTTGGGAAGCTTGTTCCTGCATATACGTTTCTGTGCCTGCCTGTGTCCGCGTCTCTGTGAGAGAGTCCTCGGCGTTCTTAGCATTCTAAAATACGAAGCAGCCATCAGGGGAGCCCTTTCAGATTGTAGCTGCATCAGCAGCCCTATACTTTGCATCTTATTTTAGAACCCATGACAAGCTCAAACAAAAATGAAGCAAACAAGGTTGGTAGCTAAGCACGGGTCCAAATCGTAATCCTCGTCAATTTCACAATTTGCGGAATTTTAGGCGGTGGGGGAGGGGGGCATTTGACTGGTATCTGCCAAACGATATCGCACCCAGCGGGGAAGGAAACGGCCTGGCCAGCACAGATCCTTTCGACTGCACCGTCCACGTCGCCGGCGCCCTCCTCCTGCTTCGCGTCTCGGCCATTTTCTGACTCCCCGGCCGGCAGCGCGGCCGCCCGCTCAGCTCTTATGACGTTCTCCCTTTGTTGGCCGCAATAATTTCCGGCCCATTGTGGCTTGCTGTCGGCTCACCGTTCCCACATGACGCGCGGCCAGTCACGGGACGCCGGAGGCGGGCGAGACGGGCCGGAGGCGGGTCACGCCCGCCGGAGTCACGGGGCCACGTCCGCTGGAGTCACGCGAGTCACGGCCGCCGCCGCCGGCGGTCCCGGCGCCCCGCCGGCGGGTCGCGTGACTCACGAGGCGGGATGGAAGACGCCGCCGCCGCCGCCGCCGCCGCCGCCGCCACCGGCAGCGCCTGCAGGGCCCGCCCCGCGCCAGATCCTGTCACGGGGAATGGTCGCGACCGTGGGGTGGGAGGGGGGGGGGGGGGGCGGCATGCCAGGCCACGGTCGTGGGATAGGTGACACATCGTTAGGTGGCAGCCACCGGAATGATGACGCATCACCAACAGCCGAGCCGGAATTGTGATACAAGAGGAGACAACGCCATGTTGTGTTCGTGGTTTACGTGACACGCTGAGTCACGATCATATCCGCTGGGCGTGTTCAGCACCAAGTGGCGGTCACATGCGCCGCTTGTGACCTACACGGCAACCACGGTCACTCGCTCAGTGTGTCCTCACCTATAAGGCAAACACGGTCGCGTGTTCAGCGTATGACTTCTGCAACAACCGCAGTCACGTGTTCAGCTTCTAACCTCTGCTTCGGTCGCAGTTGTGTGCTCGGTGTATGACCTCTGTGGCAGCCACGGTCGCGTGCTCAGCGTATGACCTCTGCGGCAGTCGCAGTGGTGTGATCAGTGAGTGACCTCTGTGGCAGCCACGGTCGCGTGCTCAGCGTGCGACTTCTGCAGCAGTCGCAGTTGCGTGCTCAGTGAGTGACCTCATCCCCCGGCGCCCGCCTGTGCGGCTGGCTGGTGACGCAGCGCGGCTGGCCTCGGCATCCCCTCCCGGACACGTGCGCCGGCCGTGTCCGGCGCTGCGCCCACGCACACCTCGCGGTCCGCCCGGCTCAGCGGCGGCGACCGGGCGGCCTCGCTCGCCCCGTCTCGCTGGCCCTCCGCCGGGCCGGCAGGAGTTCATCCGTTCTGGGGAGAGCCGGCCGGCTCTGACGGACGGACGTCGAGCCCTGGGACGCGGTCCGTCGGCCGCGCCGTGCTGCGACGCCGAGATGTCGGCATGGGGCGAGCGGCTGGGGCTGGCGGCGGGCGCTCGCTCGCGAGGCGCCGCGACCGGCCGGTCCGCGCGGGGGCGGAGAGCTCGGGCGCCGCGGCGCTCGTGCCGGCCCGCCCAGGTGCGGCTGGGTCGTGTCAGTCGGCCGGTGTCGGTTTATATGACCGGTGTTTATGTCGTGGCGGCCGTGCCAGCGGCGCCGGCCGTCGCCGCACCTGCGAGGCCCGAACGGCGGCGCTCGCTCACGAGCGGGCGTGACCCACCGGCCGGGCCGTGACTCGCTCGAGACGGCGGTAGGCTCGGTTGGCCGGGATGGCGCGCCAGGTCGATGGGTTCGCCTAACGATCGGCTCCTCTCGGCCGCGCGACAAGGTCGTCTGTCGCCAGAGGGCGTTGCGAGGCGCCGGCCGGCCCGGCGGGGCCCGGTCCCGCTTGTCGGCCGGCTCCGTAGCTGGAGGAGCTCGTGCGGCGTGCGCCTGACCCCCCCCCCCAGGCTCGCCGTCGCCGGCCTCTAACGCCGCCCGCTCCTCGTCGACCTGCACCTGCAGTGCGCCAGTCCGCCACGGCGCCGCGTTGGCGGCACCGACCCCCCGCCGCGGGGTTGTCCCCACGCCACGCTCGGTGTTCGTGACGGGACGCTGGCCGACCGCCCGGCGGCTGACGAGTGGCCCCCGCGCGGCACCGGCGCCGGCCTTTCAACTCCGTGTGATGTCGGCAGTTTGTCGTCTGGGCTGTCGCGGGCGCCGCCGTTCTCAGGCCGTGCCGGCCGGCCGCCTGCTGCGTCCCACGCTGCAGCGCCAGCCCCATGCGATGCAGTGCCCGCCGCTGTGGTCGCGCGGTTCCGTGCCCCGTCGGCGGCTCGCGGTGTTTCGTTGTGGGGTGATTGCCGGGGGTGCGGGTGCTACCCTCCCATCCGCGGCGGGATCAGCCAGCTTACCACAGTGGGTGACGTTCGCCATAATTGATCGGCCGTGGCTGGCTGCTGGCGGCGATTTCCACTGCCCATTGCATTGTGTCCGATAAGCGCCCGGTGCATTGTGTCCGATAAGCTCCCGCGACTGGTACGCGTGTGTGGGCGCTGCTCGTCCGCCCGCCGTTTTCCATCAACAACGCCCAATGCAGTGCGGCCCGTCGCTCGCTCAGGACGATGATAAAACACGTTTCAGTGCAGTGATTAGCGCCATCAGTCGGCGGTGGCTGGGCGAGTCTGTCCGCCGCAGTGTGTTAGCCTCGGCTCCTCGGCCGGCCGCGGCGGGGTCGGCGCCGCCGAGGAGCCGATTCGACCGGGCCAGACGCGGGTCAATAGGCGGGGCGGGGCGGGCCGGCTCGTCGCGGGGCCAGATTGATATCCCGCCCTCGGTGACGTCACGGCGCGCCGTCCCGCGGGAAATCACGGCGCGCTCCCGGCGGCGACGCGGTCCGTGACCTGACCGGGCGGCCCGGCCGGCTCCCGGAGCGGGTCTGCCCGGCTGCCGAAGCGGGTCTGCCCGGCTCTCGGAGCGGCCCGGCCCGGCTCCCGGAGCGGCCCGGCCCGGCTCCCGGAGCGGCCTGGCCCGGCTCCCGGAGCGGGTCTGCCCGGCTGCCGAAGCGGGTCTGCCCGGCTCTCGGAGCGGCCCGGCCCGGCTCCCGGAGCGGCCCGGCTCGGCTCCCGGAGCGGGTCTGCCCGGCTTCCGGAGCGGCTCGACCAGATGTACGCTGGCGGCGGCCGACTGGAGCTTCCAGGAGACAGTGGCGGCTGGGCTGGGCTAGACTGGGTGGGGGTGGTCTGGTCTGGTCTGGTCTGGTCTGGTCTGGTCTGGCCTGGTCTGGCCTGGTCTGGTCTCCACCGCCGGCAGGGGGCTGCCGGAGGATTGGCCGCGAAGCGTTGTGGATTGGCACGATTCTTGAATTGCTGTTATGAATCGACAAAAGCGGAGACTTGTGTGAAGTTCTGTTTTTGTTCGGTTACCTGAGTGCGTGAGCTGATTTTGGGTGAACAAAGAAGTGGTGCCTCAGGCACGGCGTGCTCCACCTATTTTCAGACAGCTTCGTACATGACATTAGTTCAACACGTGACATGAGTAGCACGCCATGACCCAAGCATACCAGCACGCTAATCCCCTGATTTGTCCGTTTGTTTGGCGATGTGCGCTGCTAGAAATAGCCAAGTCCGTCGTATGCATACAGCTGCCAGCGCTCTTGGATGTCCATCACGCGCGCTATGACGATGACGTGATCCACACCAAGATAAACCGCTGGCCGCGGTTGCCCGTCAACAAATCGTTGCCCCAGTTCGACGGCGACACACCTCAGGCGCGTTTCCGCGAGCCGCGCCGCTCCCTCGGTCTCCCTACGAGAGGCATGCGGGCCGCTCCGCCGAGGCGTGCCGGCGGCTGTGCGCCGGCCGCCGGTCGGCGCCGGTTGTGTGCCGGCCATCTCGCCGGCGTGCGGCGCTGACGTGGACCGCTCCGTCAGGTCGATCCGCCGGCCGCCTGTTGCTCGGGCGACCGGCCCAACACGACCGCCGCCGCTGTCGGGAACGGTGGCCGCGCACGGCACGAGAGCGCCCGCGCCAACTGGCTCCTGCTCGGCTCGGGCTCGGGCTCGGGCTCCGGCTCCGGCTCGGGCTCGGGCTCGGGCTTGGGCTCGGGCTCGGGCTCGGGCTCGGGCTCGGGCTCGGGCTCGGGCTCGGGCTCGGGCTCGGGCTCGGGCTCGGGGTCCCGCCTGAGCGGGGATCGGTCCGGGCTGCGGCTGTGGCTCAGGCTAGCGACCGGATGTGGAGGTTGTAGAGGCCTAGGCGGGACGAAGCACGCCAGTGTGACCCTGAGTCATGCTCAGATCGATGACGGCTGGCGAGCCCGAGAACCGTAACGGAGAGCGAGTCGGCTTCCCGGCGGGAGGCCGTCGACCGTCGACGTCGACCGTCGACCGTCGATCGTCGACCGTTGACCGTAAGCCGTCGACCGTAGGCCGTCGACCGTCGACCGTCGACCGTCGGCCGTCGGTGGGGTCTGTGTGACTGTGTGCTCGTTCATTGACCTGGCTGTCTTGGTGCCCAGATCCAGCCGCCATCACCACCACCACCTGATGTTTCAGCTGGTGGCGGCGTTGTTTAACCGGCGTCTGTCCGTGTCTGTTTCAGATAAACGCCAGTCATGGGGTGCATGGGTAGCAAGCAGAAACTGTCCAAGGAGGACCTCGAGTTTCTCAAAGCCCACACCCGTTACGACGAGGCCACCATCAAGGAGTGGTACAAAGGATTCCGGGTAAGTCCTGTGGCATCGCTTAGGAAAAGCCTGCAATGCGGAAAACATTAGTATTCAGTACGCCAGCGCATTAGGCTATTCACAATGCCGATACCGGCGTCGCCGTCTGTGTTCGGATGGTATTGCCGCCGGGATGAATGACAGCACGCGGTCTAACTGATGTGTTGATATGTGTTGCAAAAACGCCGGAGGAAATTCAGATTGCCTGTCAGCCGAGCCAGCTGCCGCTCGTGGCTCACCAGCCGTTTGGCCGCACGCTCCGCTGGCGTGCCGCCGACCCCCCAAATGTCAAGGTCACCGATCTCCGCGGGCGCCGGGAGTCGCCCGCGTAATCAGCTGGCAGCGGCGTGCGGCGGCCCTCTGGAGGCCCGACGGCCCGCCGCTGCATTAATCTCGGCTGGCCGGCCTGCGAGCGGTGGTTGACACGCGGACGCCTTTGTTCGGCCGCTCGGGCGTGTCGTGGAAAATGTACAAGTGATTTCGGAACGTTGCTAATTTTGGGCGGTGGTTGGCGGTGCCGGCCGCAGTACCCCAGTACCCCGCAGTACCCCTGTACCCCGCGGTACACCGGGCGTTGCTGGTTTTAGGCGGTGGTTGGCGGTGTCGGCTGCAGTACCCCGCAGTACCCCGCGGTACACGAGGCGGATGCAGATGCGGGAACGCCAGCATAAGCATCGCGCCGGATCAGAAGGAAACTAGCATAATAACGCCGTGCATTGACTAATGTATATGCAGTGTGAAGCATATGTTATGTATGCACATTAAGCTCCCGTCAGCATGTCAGGAAGCACTGGTTGACAGAAAATGCCAGTCAATCTTTGAGACATGCCATGCAAATACGCAAGGCATCTAGAAGCTCTCTAGATTCCGAGCGGTCCTAGCAGGCCGTGCTGCGGCGCCCAGCAGCCTTTCCAGTAGGCTTTCTCTTTTTTCTTTTTGGGCGGTGGCCTGCCATGCGAGGTATCTCTCGCGCTGACTGGATGACATACCTGGGGTGGGGGTGGGGCTGTGGAACATTTCTCGCTTGCTCATGGTCATTCGTGACCACTGGCACTGCTTGAGGCGTTGGTATTTTCATTTGTTCAGTAAGACGCCCGATATGTTCTTTTAGCCGGCACCCCTGGTGTGTCAAAGGCTGGTTTTGTTCATCGTTCAGCATGATAAGTCAGAATCTAGAAAATTGGAAGTTTGTTGATCTCTTTCCCAATTTTTCCACGTTGCTATGCCAGTCTGCCACGTCTGGGCCTTCGTACGAAACTCCTTGTGGCGTGTATTTACATGGTATGACGGAGTGACTGCGACGTTACGGAATGGTGACGTTATTTTAAGGTTTCCGGTTACGTCTTGCGGACTTTGTCACCTAACAGTACAGATAAAAATTCCCAGCATCAACATGTACGCAGTGACACTTAAGCGCTCGGCAATTCGCTTTAATGCAAGCTGTAAGACTTCCCTGGATAGTTGAAGCGGACGCTTTTGCTTCCACGGATCATTATGTAAGGATAGCAGTGTCATTGGGTCAAAACGGCAGACCTGGACGCCACATGAATGCGGCGGAGATCGTCTCCACCGCGTGTCCTGCGCGTTGCGTGAAGTGAACAACGCGTGTGTTGGTGTGTACTTACCATACCCAGTGTCGTTAGTACTCAGTGCGGAGGACGGTCGTTCCCCATGTCCACCCGACTCACTGCAGGTGGGAGGCACGCGCCGGACGAAAACGTCCACGACTCAGCTATATCGAGGCCCGCATTCGGACGCCCATCCGTAAGAAACTTTGGGATAGATCAGACCCTTTGCTCTGGCCGATTCTGTAAGTTTCGAACTGGAACTTGAGCAGGCGCCTCCCACCCGGGCCGAGTTCGGGAGCATTCTGGACAAGTTTCGAGCGTCTGGACGCAATCGCCGCTGGAGTGGAGAAGCCACGCAGCCGGCGGCGCTCGCACGGAGCGGGCCCGCCCCGGCCGGGTCGTCAAAACCCGGCGACGTGGCGTGGTGGCGCGCCAGCGGCCCCGCTCTCTCAGCCACCGTCGTGAAGAGGACAGACCGCTGGCCGGTGGCGACCCGCGGCGTCACGTGACCGGCCTGGCCAGCTGTCCGCCCGTCGTCGCTCTCCCCGTTTGGAGATTGCTTTGTTGCGCGGCGTGTTGCAGCAGCGCCCGGGCCGCGCGGACGGCGGACAGGGAGAGAGCCCGACGCCAACATCGATTTTTGGAGATTGTGGTCGGGCCGCGAGACGACGATGAACGGCCCGGCTAAAGAACTGGCTGTGGTGAAGCCGCGACGAGTTGCTCGGCGACGATTCGGCCGAATGCCGCTATCAAGCGCCCTTCGACGGCTATTGATCGACTGTTCGCTGCATCGCTTGGCGGCGTCGCCGGCGGGCACATTTGACGGCGCTTCTGTCAGCTCGTGATCTGGCCGTCGGCCGCAGCGCGAGCTCTAAAGCCGGGTGTCGCCGGCCCGTCGGCCGTCTCGAGCGGCAGGGCTTTGTCGCCGGCCGCTGGCCGCCGACCGGCCGAGCGTCGTCAGCCGCGGATCAGGCGCGCCGTCTCCGGACATTCCCAGCGGCCCGGACGGCACCCGGCGGCGGCTTTTGTGGCGTGCGACGCGGGGGAATCGAAGCGCGACGGCGCCGACAGAAGTGTCGCGTCGCCGCTTTTGGGAGCGGTGTCCTCGGCTGGCGCCCAGAACAGCGAGCACCTCTCCGAGCCGTTACCGCCGTCCCGAGCGGAGCGCCGCCGGCGCCTTCTCCTCCACGCCGCTGGTCTCTCCGAGAGGTCGGCCGCTCGGTCCACCATTGCTCTCTCCGCGGCCTTGCCGGGCGCGCCGGGGGCCTGCCCCGTCCTCGCCCCACGCGGGTCAATCGATCTGGTGTGCTGGACATCTCATTAGGCGGCGCCGGTGTGTTCCCACGCCATATGTATCGGCCCGTGCGGAGGCCGTCGGCCCGTCTCGGTCGTCGGAGCGACGGTCTCCCGCGGCGGCCGCCCGACGGCGGATGGCGCGGGCCGCCGGCCCCCGCCTGCTGTCGGCACCGCCGAGCCCGCCGGCAGCCCCGGCTGTGTGGGCCGCCCTCCGACGCGCTCATCTGGCCACCGTGCCGTTGTCGTGCCCGTTCGCGGTGGTGATGGGGTGCTATCGGCATGCTGCGGCCGCAGGATATTACACACGCGGGGCCCCTCTTCAGCACCCAATGGGTCGTCATGTGCCGCAGTCATCGCATTTCCCGTCACGATGACACCCAATGGACCGTCTGCGCGGCATCGGCGTACGATTCCGCCATATCGGTCGCATTTTATCTCATCTCACTGCTTCCAAAAACCCAAGTATTCGTGGCCGCCGGACCCAAGTCCCAGCACGTTTAAATGTGAGTTCAATTGCTGTTACAACCCCTGGCAAATCATCAAGGACATACTGCTAGTGGTAATCCCGAAGAGTGGCACTCTGGTGTCGGGCAAACGCCGCTGCTGTCTGGCTGATGGCCGGAAGTACTTCGTTTCCGGCGGTCTGCCGGCGTCGGGCCGCAGCCGCACGAGTCACGAGGCGTCTCACGGACATGACCCGCGCTGTGACCCTGGCGGCGGCTCACGGTCGCCCAACGGACGGCGGGATCCCACGGCGTCGGCGGCCGGCGCCAGACGCCGCGGCGGGGGGTGAGACCAGCGCCGCTCCAAGGAGTGTGGAACGGCCGTCTGGTGCGAACAGGTCCGTGCGCCTGGCGTGTCAAGCCGGCGGAGATCCGCGGCCGCCCATGCTTAGCGGACGGGCCCGATGCGTCGGTCAGAACTGCGGACAGTGCAGCCTACAGCGGCTCCTGCTAGACGGTGTCAACCGCCATTTGAAGGTCCACGAACGTATGCAGGCCAGGAGCAGTCGGGGCAGGCCCACCCGCCCCTGCTCGGCAGAAGTTCACAGCACCTGTCGCCGGTCGGTAGCCTGCACCCCCCCCCCCCCCGCCCCTCGCCGCTGCGTGGCGCAGTGCGCGCTCGCACCTGTACGGCGTTGGTCGCTCGGCGCTGGGACACCTGTCGGAGGCGACGGTGGCGGCCCGATAGTCGCTGAATCGGCGCCGAGCTGCCGGCGCCGCCGGCCGTGCCCGCGCAGGGTGGCCAGGCCGCCGCTCGGTCCTCCGCCGGCCGGACGGTGTCGCAGCACCGACCAGAGCGGCTGTGCCGGGCACAGAGCGCTCGGGACGCGGAGGCCATGCCGCGTCAAAGTGGACAGAGGGTGTGGGAAGGTGGAGGGAGCCGGAGAGGAAGTTGGAGGGAGCGGGAGGGGGAATAGGAGAGGGCGGGGGAGGGAGTTGGAGAGAGTGGGAGAGGAAGTTGGGGGGAGAGGGAGAGGGGA